ACAGTCCTTGTCAGGACAGGCTTGTGTGCAGGCAGGTGTGTTCCCACCTGTGTATGTCACGTCCGACCGGGCCCTGCAGGGGGCCGGCTGGCAGGAAGCCCCGCAGAGGCTGGCCCTCGCTCCTGTGCCTCCTGCAGTTGGTCAGACCCCACCGCCCTCTGGCGCCGTCCCTAGGTCTCCCGCGTACTTCTCTGGGCCTGAGGAATACTTTCCAAGCCCCGCCTTGTTTCTTGGCAGGACCCTTTTTGACCTCCCCACTTCCTTCATAACATTTGTTGTCACTCTTGGCTTTCGTGACAGTGCTCAGTTGACTTATGTCCTACTCCTGTGTGCCCTTTCTTCCTCTCCTGTGGGTCCCTCCTTCTCTGCCTAACGATGGCACGCGGGGTCCCTCAGCCACCACGGCACTCTGGATGTGTCCTGGGCACTCTGTCACACAGCCTGGTACTGCTGCCCCACCAGCGACGGCACCAAAATGTTTCTCTTTGACCAACACCTCATTCCTGGGCCTTTTCCCTCCATTGCCTTCGGAGTAAACGTCAGTGCCCAGGGTGGCACATGCAGAAAGCTTTTCAGTGATCTGTAGGGCTTAGGCTAGTTTTATTGGAGAAAAGTTCACGTCCGCTGCCAGCCTGTGGCTTGCTGCTTTATTTCTCACACTGCTGTAAGTTGGCGACTCCCCGCTTCCCTCAGGGAAACACAAAGACTTCCCTGTCCCCCCCGCTGCCGGGCGACGCGCCACTGCACGGTTCGGGAGTATTCTACGAAGCCCAACTTCTCTTACCATCCTGATTTCTCCGAAACAACCTGTTTCCTTAACCTGTTTCCTTATATGTTTCCCCTTTAGTGGGTCATTTCCCTTCCCGTTTCATCGAATCGTCTGTACCCGCTTTCACGGGAATGAGGGAGCGACTGTTTTCCTATGTTGTGCAGAATTCGAAGGCTTCTCAGTGGTCCTGTTTCAGGCATCGATGGCCGGGGATAGAAATTGTTCTGTCCGTTCAGTGGGTCAGAGTGGGTCGGATTAACACGTAGCCCTTTGTCCAGGTGGCCCTGTTGTTCGTTTAGCGGGAGCGGCGCGAGCGCTCGTACAGTGTGTGTTAGACAGGCTGGGTGCGTGGCATGTCATCTGACCCCTTTGCGTGTTGCATATAAGACAGTCTTGACTTCATAGAATTTGGCCCATCAAGTCACTCGTCCTGGTCCTTGATGACACCAACAAGGTTTCGCTTTTGTGCCTTCAGGGGTGTTTCATGTGTGTCCCATCAGCCCTTTCTCCAGCAGTGACCCGCTCTTGGTTAGGAAATGTGTCAGGTAAGAACAATAAGTTGTGTGTCCTTTTGTTTTTATGATGAATCCGTTGTGCTAGGTCACTGGGCCACTGGTGCCTATGAAGGCGCGAGGCGAGTGTGTTCGTCCAACGGGAAAATACGGAGCACGACTAACCGGGTCAAAGCTGTGCCCTTGACCAAGAGGGGCTGGACCCAGCATCTGAAGATGGCGGACTGTGTTCTCCTGTTTCTGGTTCGGCCCAGCCTGTCCTTACTCAGCAAGCGGGTGGCATGCCGCCTCGGCGAAGGTGCTGTGGAAAGATAGAAAATGCACAAGTAGACTCTGGCCAGGCGAGCCCAGGTTCTAGAAGCCTCGTGCACGCTGCCATGACTTCCTGCTCTGGGGGAGAACAGAGGCTCTGGCTGGCGAGGCCTGGGCACCCCTCTACCGTGGCAGAGGCGTCCTGGGCAGGCATGCCCCACGGGGTGAAAGTTGGAGCTGGATTCCAGTCCCCGTTCTAGCACTTGCTAACTCTGACCTCGGTGACTCCTCAACTGCCCTGAGCCTCGGTTTTGCTCACCTGCGAGACTCACCCTGCAGAGTTATTAGGTAGCGTGCCAACGTGCACGAGGGGTTGGCACCGAGCAGACCCATAGCTTTCCTCCTCCCCTCCTGGCAGGGACTTCACCAGCTGGTTCAAGTGCAGATGCTGCGATGAGGTGGAGACAAAGCCACGGCCCTGAATGTGAAGTGTAACCTGGCCAATCCCCTCTGCCCCTCCACCCCGGTCACCAGGGAGGACAATGGCGTGAATTCTGTCTCGTGTTGGCACAGCAGTACGGGAACATCTTGTTCACGGCATTGTGTAACTGAGAGAAACCTGGCATAACTCCTTTTAATCAAGGCAAAAGTTCAGACGCTGCGTGCCAGCCCCATGGCTGCATTGGTGCACGGCCCGCAGGCTCGGGGCTCTGATTTCCTTGGTGGGTCTCTGGCGAAGGCTCCCGGATCATTCTGATGGGTGGCCCAGGTTGGGGACCCCTGACCCAGCACGTTCCCACTGGCGTTGCCTCACTGGAAACAGATCATGCAGCAACTTTGTCTACCTAAAAGGGCAAAGAGTTGAGGGTGTAAACTCAAAATGCTGCTGCACCTTCAGCCAGAGAGAAGCTCTTCCACCAGTGCTCTGGGCTGACGTCTGTCGCTTGATATTTGAAGTTCGGAGAATGTGTAACAACTACTCCCTCCACTTAGAAACAAAAACAAAAACTTGGCTTTGGACAGACCTGGGATTGTGTTCCGTCTCTTTCCCTTGTTAACTGGGTAGCCTTGAGAAACCACTCTGAGCTTCAGTTTTCTCATCTGTGAGATGGGGTAATACTTTCCTTTTAAGGGTGTAAGGACAATTCATTAATTAATGTAAACCAATATTAGCACTAGTTGAAAGAGTTAGCTCATCACTGGCCATGGCAGGTGCTCGGACGTGAGAGTTACAAGGCAGGTGAGAGTTACAAGGCACTGACGTGACGCTGGCCAGATGTTCTTAGGTCAAATTCTTGCTAACAATCTAGGTCTGGTTGTGGGAGCCCCACTGGTTGGCAAGGTGAGGCGCAAACACTCGCTATTGTGGGGAAGCTCTTCACACTGGCTGAGCCAGCTGGTAGCATGAACTTAACCCGACAAAGTTTGAGCACCAGTTTGTTACTGCGCTACCAGTTTTTAACATGGCAAATTCCCTGGTAAGTCATTGGATTTTCACTCAAGTCCTTTTGTAGAGTTTCAAGGTAGACACCACACTGTTTAAAATGTGCGTGCCTAACACCAAGCTGGGTGCTATAGGAAATACAGCAAAGGAGCCTCGTACATAAGGAAGTTCTGGTCTAGTTGGGAAAATAAAGCACAGATAGATGACAATGTCTGCGTGTTAATAAAGTGCTATTCACGGGCGACAGGCGGTTATCTAGACAGACTGTCCGTGTCAGAAAGCAGGGATGTGCTCACGTTGTATCGTCTACCCGGTTGTCCTGACAATAAAGCCCTGTGTTTCATTCTCCTGAATGTGCCTGTGAGGCCTCTGTCCAGGGGGTCAGCCCCTGTTTGAGCACCTGCAGCGGGTGGGGGTCACACGAGGGCACCGGGAAGCGTCGTCACAGCGCCCAGCGCTAAGCGAGTCCTGCAGCCTCGCTCACACCTGTTTCTGCTACTCGGAATCGTTTCTTTGTGGATCCATTCCTGAGTGTAAAACACTCTGCCGTCCTAGGCGAAAACTCTCACACATTGCTCAACTGGGCCACCTCCTGGTGACAGCAGCGAGGCCATCTGTCTCCCCTGGAGTTTTGTGTTTTATTTTTTTGCCTCTAAACATTATGCTGTGAGAACGGAGTTATTTTTAAATCACCTCTTGGCTTTTGGTTTAAAAGCATGAGGTAGTGTGTCAAAGGTAGTTTGGCGTTTCTTTAGCTGCTATCAAAAGCCTCATCTGTGTACCAATGTGCAACTCTTCGAACTCTTTAGTCACTTAGAATCTCCCCGAGGCAGGGGACAGACAGCCCGGTCTGAACCCCAGCTCTCTGGCCCGACTTCCCTCACCTGTGAATTGAGAAAACTAGGACTGCATCACAGGGTTTCCTGAGAATTAAGTGAGTTAATATTTATAAAGCAACGTGTGTGTTTGTTAAACAACTCTAACTGATGGGGTGTTTCTCATTTATCCCCATTTTATTACTTTTTCAGTTGCTAGGTAAATAAAATTTAATCAAGGGCTAGAGATTTTTTTTTCTCAAATAATTGTCCTGATTTGGTTTTGCTACAGTTGTTTTCTTTTTCATGTTAGTGCTTTTTTATAATGAATGTTTGAATTAATTCTTTGGTAAATGTGGAACTTACTCCAAAGCGTCATGTGACATTGGCCCTAAAATTCTTTTCCCTCTTGTTATTCCAACCACAGTAATAGTGATTCTGTTGATCTTGGTTTATCCTTAGGTGATTTCAAAAACTTGGTTGCTACAGTGACAGATATCTGGCTTTTAAGTTAATACCAGCTTGGTCTTACTGTATTATATAAATATGGACCTGTGTGTGCGTGTGCAGGCGTGTGCGCCTAATTCTCTCACTCTGCTTAACTACTTTGTGGCCACTAGAAATCAATCTTTTGAAATCTTTTTTATCTCTAGAACCTATCCATATTTGCAGAATATAATTCTTACTTCTTTTTTGTGTTTGATGCCCTTACCATCATTATTCAAATAGGTTTGCAAGGACTTTGAATATTCTGGTAAAATAGGAATAAAGATGGTTATGTTTTTAATTGGATGTATTACTTGTTTGTTTCTTGGAAATATGTGTACATGTGTGTATATATAATTTTTAGTAACCCCCAACCACAGAGTTTCTTTCTTTTAGATGCAAATGTTAAAATTGCATTATTTCTGTGTCCTTCAAACCTCTCCTTAAAGATTCTTTTTTTAAATTTTTTGCCCCCATTTTCAGGCCCCTGACATTTATGGGATCACAGACCAAGCGAGTCCTGCTCACCCCTCTCATGCATCCAGCCCGCCCCTTCCGAGTCTCCAACCACGACAGGAGCAGCCGGCGCGGGGTGATGGCCAGCAGCCTGGAGGAGCTCCTCCACAAGGTACACACCTGGCACCTCTCCGCCAGCTCACACAGGCGCCCTGAGCTCTCCCAGGGCAGTGGTCTTGGGTGGGAAGCCCATGCAAAGGCAGAAAAGTGAAGAAAAACAGCATGTCCCAGCCTGGGCAACAGAGCGAGACCCCATCTCTAAAAAAATTGTTTTTAGAGAATTAAGGCAGGCATGGTGGCTCATACCTGCAGTCCCAGCTACTTGGGAGGCTGAGGCAAAAGGATAGCTTGAGCCCAGGAGTTCAAGACCAACCTGGGCAATATAGCGAGATCCTATCTCTTAAAACAGAACAAAACAAAACAAACAACAAATCAAAAACCAGCACGTCACCAGGAGGGGCGGGTAGGGGAGAAGGATGGGGGGTGACTGCTGAGGGAGTTTCTTCCTTCAGGGATGAAAATGCTCTAAACTGATTGTGCGGGTGGTCGCCCAACTCTGCGAACATCTATAGACCACTGAATGGTACACTTTACAATGGGCGAATTATATGACTTGTGAATTATGTGTCAATAAAGCTGTTTTAAAAAGAGAAGAAAAAGAAAAACAGCATGTTAAACTTGAAAGACCTTCTCTTGGCCCAGAGAGTCTGAGGGAGCCGTTTCTAACGGGCAGAGGGTGGGCATAAGTGATCAGAGGAGGCAGCACTGCGTCCCTGCGCCTTAAAAGATTCAGGGCCAGAGGCGAAGCCTCGAGAGCAGTCCCCAGCGGATGGTGCAGCTTCGCGTCTTTGACAAAGGGGAACGCGGGGGGCGCAGGCTCCGGAAGTCTACTTTGGGTTATGAAGCCAGGATAGAATAGCCCTCAAGCTAAACCAGTGGCCTAGGCCACCAAATGGGGAAGAACCTAGACTCTCAGAAGCATAGCTCAGACACGGACACCCGTGGAAACGAGGAATGAGCACCCAACATGCCGTCTCTGAAGCAAGAGAGACGTTCAGATACACCGCCCGAGGCTCCGGCTCTGAAACCAGAGCCGGAAGATTTTTCCAGACCTGCAGGATTTTTCTTTTTATCCACCTAAACAAGTAGGTAATCTTAGAAATTGTAAATATTATTCAATATAATCACTTACTTCCTGTCTTTTGAGAAGACAGATTCATTGAAAATCTTAATTTCCTGGCCCAGCATGGTAGCATGTGCCTGTAGTCGCAGCTGCTTGGGAGGCCGAGGCGGGAGGATTGCTTGAGCTCAGGAGTTCGAGACCAACCTGAGCAAGAGCGAGACCCCGTCTCTACTAAAAATAGAAAAATTAGCTGGGCGTTGGGTATGTGCCTACAGTCCCAGCTACTCAGGAGACTGAGGCAGGAGAACGGCTTGAGCCCAGGAGTTTGAGGCTGCAGTGAGCTAGGCTGACACCACGGCACTCTAGCCTGGGCAACAGAGTGAGATACTGTCTCAAAACAACAACAACAACAATAACAAAAAATCCCCTTTTTCCAAGCAAAGACTGAGTCATAGACACCAATCGAGGTATATTTTTACCATTGAAATTTTATCAAAATCAACCAACACTTCTAAAACTGTAACTTAGTACGCGCTGTTGGACAGTCCAGTGGAAATGTCACACTTCGTTCCATTTCTCTCACGCATTGCAAACCTAGACTCTGGATGTCCTGGTCATCACTGCTGGACTGGTCACTCTGGTACTGGAGGAAGACGGCACCGTGGTGGACACGGAAGAGTTCTTCCAGACCCTAGGAGACAACACGCATTTCATGATCTTGGAAAAAGGACAGAAGTGGACTCCGGTAAGCAAAATCATGGTCATCCAAACGGCTACTGGGTGGGCTTTTTACCTGTGAAAGCGCGTGCCCTACTTCGATGGTGCCTCACCCACTTTCTAAACATACTCTTTGCATTCTGCTGACTCCTGGATCCACTACCCTCAAAGGGATTCTTACCAGTATTCGAGGAAACTTAGTGTCTCTGTGAACTTGGGCTGTGTGATTGAAAGCAAGTAATTCTGAGGAACAGGCTTTGGCCAGTGAGTAGCTGCAGACCCTGCAAAATGCACAGGATCTACCTGGTGACGATTCACTGTCCCTAATCTTGGAAGCCAGACAAGCTGATAGAGCCAACAGAGTTAGGGAGGGGGTGTGCGTGTGCGTCCGTGTGAATGCAGAGATTTGGAAAAGTAGAGCTAGCATGAAGGGGAAGGATGAAGATGGAATGAAGTTTCGGGGGAAATAGATTATATATCTTAAAAACCCTCCACTATAAAACACCTAAAAATATAAAGCAAAATACTGAAACGTCTTTTTACATATCTGACGTTCAAGAAGGGGAAATCCTCAGAGGCCAAAATTTTTGTGGAGTCAGAATCCAGAGAGGACGGCAAACCCTGAGGCTGGCGGCTCGCCAGGGGCCTCCGCGACCCGGCTGTGGCTTCCGCACATGCCGGGAAGGCGGGAGGCCAGTCTCAGCTGGCACGGAGAGCGGCGTCAGATTTGAGACGTGTCCGTAAAGCAGGGCATCGTAAGGGTCTCTCCTGAGCATCTGCGGCCATAAGCTGCCCTCGTGAGGCTTCGGGCACCGCCAAGTCCAAACCCCTAAGCGCGGAGTCACCTTACAGAGACCTGGAGAGGCGCGTTGGGTCACTCGCCGGATTCTCCTTGCGCGGTGAGTCCCTGCCTGCCCCGCGCAGCCCCGCGCCCAGAGCCCACGGTGCCCGTGCAGCCAGCAGGGCGGGCGCACATCAGCCGGAGGGACGTGTCGGCAGCATGCCTGGTGACAGCAATCGGCGGAGACCGACCACACCCCACGCCGGGAGACCGGAGACGCACGGCCGGCAGCACACTCTGCGTGAACACGCGTGAATAGACTGCCCCCGGCCACTGGACCGACTGCTCCTCAGCCACGAAAATGCGGGAAGCACAACTACAGGCGTCCGTGTGGATGAACCGCATCAACGGTGCTGAGTGACAAGGTCACAGGCTAACACATCAAACAAGCGGTCCTCAAATTTCTAGATCTCAGGACCTGTTTGCACTCTTAAAACCCAATGAGGACCCCAAATAGCTTTCATTTATGTGGGTTGTATCAGTAGACTCTGGATATGTAGCAGAAGTTCCCACACGGGTAGCTGTCGCCCCCTGGGGTCATTTTGGCTGTTACGGCTGGGCGGGGTGGAGACCGGAGTCGCTGCCAGCCACTTCATGACGCGGACGCCCCCCGGGAAAGGTGGCCGGCCCCGAACGGCAGCAACGTCAAGGCTGAGAAACTGTAAGCTGTAGATACAGATATTCCCAACATTAGAAATTAAAATTGTTTAGAAGTTACTAATGAGTGGATTTTTTTAAAAAAGAAATTAAAATTGAGAAATTTAAAAATATGTATTAATTCATTAAAAATAATAACCCAATACAGGTTGACTTAAATCACATATTTTGATGAAAAAGGACTGTTTTCTAAAACACAAAGATTGAGTGAGGAGTGACGTGCTTTACGTTTTTGCGAATCTCTTTGATGTCTGGCCTAATGGAAGATGGCGGGACGCTCGTGTCTGCTTTGGCGTTGGATCCGCTGTGATTACCGTTCTGACGGAAGGATGGAGACAGTCCGGCCGGACACAGCGCCGCCGGGAAGGCAGGAGGACGTTAGGTCTCAGATGAGCGAGCGTGTCCCTTCCCGGCGCCAGGCCGGCTCGCGTGCTGGCTTCAGGGTGGCCCGGGCGGCTCGGGTCCGGACAGGTGCGGCGCGGAGCTGCCTCGGTGGCGCCCAGTCCGTGGGGGTGTCGCGCGCTTCGAAGGGATCCTTTCCCAGGGTGCTTTGTGACACCGGCGCGGGTCGTTAGAAAATACGGTTCACGGAGTCAGCGGGTCTCCCAGCTCTGCGGTGGGAAGCCCCGCTCCTCACGAGAACAGGAAGGGCAAGCGGCACCTCCCTGTTCACTAGGAAAACCGCTGCCCTCTCCGCCCGCTGATAGGAGACCGCACTTTGAGAACCTCCACGTTAAACCATTCATGGACAATTCAAAAATATGCAAATTTAGCAATATCATGTTCAAGGCACACGTGTGCTAAAAACAGGGAAGAGTGAGGGCAGTGCTGGACCTAGACGGCCCCTCTGGACAGGAGGGGGTGGGCCGAGGAGAGGCCCGGGGGTCTCCCAGGGCTGGGCATGGCTCGGTTTCGCTCTCGTTGTTCCTTCCTCTTACGTGTATGACACACACACCCCTGCACGTGCGCCGTGATTGTTTTGACTGGAAAAGACTCTACAGACCAATTATGAACCACGCACCGTTCAAATAAAGTCTCAGAGCAGGTGAGGAGACCATGCCCTGTGGGGGAAATCAGATACATCTTCTAAGAGACAGTCTTGGGCCGTCTGCTGCGAGGTAGGTACGAGGCCTGAACGGTGCCCCCAAAGATGCCCACGTCCTGATCCCAGGAGGACTTGGCAGATGTGATTACGCGAAGGCTCTTGAGATGGGGTGTTGTCCGGATTATCCGGGGAGGTCAGTGTAAGTCCAGACAAGACCCCACCCAAACTCAGATTTCGGGCCGGGCAGGCCTCGAGGGTCCTTGCGGGGCGGGAGGAGGGTGAGCGCCAGGCTGGCAGCAGGAGGCGCGGTGTGAGGCGGGGCCGAGCCCTGCCTGCCATTTTGGACTCCGGACCCCAGGACGGCCAGGGTATCAATACGTGTGGTTTTAAGCCACTCAGTTTCTAATAATCTGTGGCGGCGGCAGTAGGAAACTAACTCAGATGGGACGGGCATCTTTTGTTTGTTCCCTTGTTTTTATAAACGAGGCATGGGTCGGTATGAGGAGCCGGAGACCATGTCACACGTGGACGTTCCCATTGCCGCGTCCGGGCGGTGCTGAGATGCCATCGATCTGGGTCACGCGCTCAAGGGAGGCTCGAGGCCTCCTTCAGCCCAGTGCCCGGCCCAGGGGAGGAAGCGGGTGGGGCCGGTAGTGGAGTGTAGACACGTGTCCACGTTAGGGCGCGCGGGGATCAGCTGCGGAAGGGTGTCTTAATTTTGATTTAAGACCTAGACTAAAGGAAGACATTTACGGCGAGCAAGATAGAAACTTTTGAAAGTCAGGAAGGAATGTGAGGCCAGGAAAAAGAAGTGTGGCAGGATTATGGGTCAAAACCGCTTTGCTTCCATAATCTCGATCTCTTAAAATCATGTTTCCTAGCTAAGGGGAGCTGGCACCCCTCGAGGGGCGGCAGGACCCCTTGCGTGCCGAAGCTTGGGCCCGGCCGGCATCTCCACCCCGTCGCGCTCTGTGCTGCGCGGTGGGAGCGGCAGGAAGCGCGTGGTGCTGGGGGTCTGTGCTCTGGCCGCAGACGCGCGAGACCCTGGCATTGACGAGCTCCCGCTCACAGCCTCAACGGCTCCCAACTCCAAAGGTTCAAGAGACGTAGGGACTCCGCTCAGTTGTCTAAACTCAAACCCTCTGCGCCCCCAGGTCTGCGTGGCACAGACCCCTTAGGAAAGCGGCCCCTGCGCCCAGCATTTGTGCCTTGGGGCAGCTTTGTTCTCACCTGAAAGCTTTCTGCGGGGAAGATCCTGCTGCGGTGGTTCCGCACCTGGGCTCTGTGAGCTCGCTGACTCCCTCCACCCGGCCTGAGAGGCCCCCGATGTTGCCGGCGGGTGCACGGGCGGGCACTGCAGACAGACAGCCCTCACCCCCGCAGCTGCTGGGACACAGGGGCGGCCCCCCCCCCTTACGTTAGCCACGCGATTCTGGCACTTTCTGCCCAGTGGCTGCTTACGAAATGGAAATAATGCTCCCTGCGTTTCCATAACTGTGGTTGTGTTATGGCCACGGGAGGAGAGGCCCAGGTCACCAGGGGGCCAAGGTGGCCTCCAGCTGGAGTGAGTGTCCACAGCATCCGTCAGGGGCACAACCATCCGCTGAGCAGTGGGATCCTAAAACCCGGGCCCTGACGCCAAATCAGACTCATCCTGAGTCACTGACCTGAAAGCGGATTAGGGAAGGGTCCGTGGTGATGGATTTGGGCATGGTAGTGTGAGCACATTGGTCTGCTAAAAACATTCCCAAATTATTAGCAGCTTTGTCGATAACAGATTTTAAATGGACATTTAGGAGAAACTGAAGCTAGTGTAAAACCAGAACTCTGAAGTTTGAATGCCATGGTTTGGAATGCTGCTGAAGTCTGCTCTTCCCTTCGTTACTGCAGGGTAGTAGGTATGTCCCAGCTTGCCGGCAGCCGAAGAAATCGGGGATCGCAAGGGTCACCTTTGATTTATACAAGCCGAACCCCAAGGACTTCATCGGCTGCCTCAACGTGAGAGCCACGGTGTATGAGATGTACTCCGTGTCCTACGACATCCGGTGCACCGGGCTCAAGGCCCTGCTGAGGTACCAACTCCAGGGGTCGACCCGGGGTGTGGGAGCTGCACGGGGCCAGCACAGGTGGCATGTCCCCACCTCGTTCCTCTGTACTCCCAGGCCCAGCTCTGGGAGCCCTCACAGGCCTGTCGCTGTTGTCATTAGGAGCATTCTAATTCGCGTGGTCTTATGCCACAGGCATAAGCTGTGCGACCTTTCAGAGGTTACTTAACTTCTCTGAGCCTCAGTTTCATCATATTTAAAATAAGTAGGTTGCTTCCAAGTTCTTTATGATTGCCTAGGCTCTAAATACACCTAGTCTCCTCCTCCAGTAAATTCGCGTTGATCTCTGAAGAACTAACTCGGTGGAGGGAGTGGGCAGCAGGAGGGCCCCGAGGTGGAGGAAGAACTTGCCCACACCCGGGCGGCGCCTGCCTGTCCCTCCGGGAGGGCGGGGGACAGGCCCGGGGGGGGGCCTGCGCTCTGGCCTGCCCTGATCGGCGGCCGGGGACGGCTGTGGCGAGCCTGCTGTGGCGACCAGCCTGCTGTCCTCGCAGGGCTCTCCCCGCCCCACCTGGGGCCAGGACAGTCTGGCTTCCCCGTGACCTCGGCTGCACAGCCAGAGCATTGACAGCGAGTCCAGACTCTGGTCGCGGTGGCGTTGAAAGCGTGACTGCCGGGAGCTGCTTTGCTTTGCCGAGATGGGGGGAAATAGCTTTGTTCTGTGATGCGCACAGTGAGACGAGAGAGTTGGGGCGACTCGGAAAAGCGCAGCGAGAGAAGTGAGCCTCACTCCACGTCCCGCCTCGGCAAAGTCGCTCTCGACAGCAAAATCCGGGTTCTCGTCACTAGTCTCCTGGCCCGACAGCAGCACCCGGATCGGAGGCCTCGCCTCCCCGGGCCTGTGGGACGCTCGTGCCAGGGGGCAGCCTCTGCCACCGCTGCGCGTCCGCTACCGCCCTCCCAAGGGAAGGAATCCTAACGCTGGAACGAAATCCTCTGGCTTTGGGCGGAGCAGAGAAAGAGAACTCGAGTTAAAGCTTTTGTAAGTTTGTTTTTTAGTCCCCGTAACGCTCATGCCAGACTCAGCCTGAGAACTGAGAGGGCAGGACAGGGCAAAGCTGTCCCTCCCTGCAACTTTGGGAACAAGTTGGAGTAGCCCAGCTGCCTTCGACAAACTGGATCATGGGATCACAGTTCCGTTTTTGCCGAGACTTCCCTTCGGCCTGACCTCTGCCACCCGGCCTGGTCGGTGTCGGTGACGAGCTCCGGCACGTACCGAGGCAGGACAGGACGCAGCCCAGGCTCCCAGGAGCAGGGGCTGCCCCCGCAGAGCCTTCTAGCACGGAGCAGCCGGGCCGCAGTGGATCGTGGGAGCCAGGCGTCCCAGGGGCCCGGGGAGCTCACGGAGACCAGCTCCCACCCAGCCCCGGGGACGTGTGTGCCCTGAGAGGGGTGCTCCTCGGACCGCCACGCTCTGAGGCGTGAGCGCCGCTCCCCTGAGCGTCGGCATGGTGGCGTGTGTGCCACCCAGCCCCGGGGCAAGGTGCGTGTGTGCCAGGGGAGGACACAGTCCCAGGACCCCAAGCCTGACACGCCTCCCTCTCCTTCTGTTGCAGGAGCCTGCTGCGGTTCCTGTCCTACACTGCCCAGGCGACCGGACACCTTCTCATCTACGCGGGCACATACGTGCTGCGCGTGCTGGGTGACGCGGAAGAGCGGCCCTCCCTTGCGTCACACACCTGGGGCTGGTTCACGTGTGGAAAGGGCCGCAGGCTGCAGAGGGCTCAGCCCGCTTCTTGACCCACATGCTCTCTCGAGTGACAGTTTCAAAGATGCTTTAATGTCCTTAACCACATGCACTTGTAGGCTGCTGGTCGCCCCGCTCAGGGGTGGCGTCCAGGTGAAGGACAGGGCTTGGCGGCATCTGAGGTGGGGCCGTGGCGGGGCGGGCCAGCCCGCAGATGCGCTGGACCTGTTTGGTGCCTCCCCCGCAGCGACCCATCGCAGGAACTACTCTTCCGACGTGTGATACTTCCGTGTGTCTTTCGTCTCTCTAAAAAGCAAACAATACTTTTATATAGAAGCAAATCTCAGCCAGAAGTATTCTGCTAACAGCTATAGTCACTTCTAAGTCTGTATGATACTTAAAAATACCGAGCTGTCACATGTTATCTTGTGTTTTTTAATGTGGGTCTTTAACGAGCCCAAACTTTTGGAGGTCGTCAGGCACACTTTCAGCCTTTTTCTTAAAAAACAAACAGACCCAAACTGCTTGAAACCTGGCTTCGATGCCTGGCACAGCCGAGCCGCACCTTCAGCCCCGGCTGCTGTCTGTCCGTCGTCTGGGGTGGGGCCCCGCCTCCCGCGCCAAGCAGAGGGAAGCCTGTGGCCACGGACAAGCTGTCAGGCATCTGTCGCCCCCACCTCTTGGCTCTGCTTTCCTCCAGGTTGGCTTCGGCTTTGGGGGGACCCTCCCCAGGACGCTCTGGGCTGCACCTGGTCCTTGTTGGACGCCCCCTCCCGTAGTCACTGCAGCCAGGACACTCTGCCAGGGTAGGCACACGGCTGGGCCTGGAGACAGGGAAAGATGAGGCCCAAGCGCACGGCCTGGGGGAAAACGGGTCCCCAGAGGGACATTGGGTGCAGCTCCTAGCGTAAGGGGGACAGATGCTAGGACGCAAATCTTTGCCTTTTAGGAAGCGTTGCCTCGGAGGCCTTTTTCCTTCCCTAGCCGCCAGCTCGGGCCAGTGAAAGACACTGCAGGGTGTCCTGGAACCCCAGGAGAAGAAGGAAACACCTCCGTCCCCCAACACCGCCGGCCCCTCTTCCTGGCCATTGCTCAGACCTCCGGCCTGACGGGAACAGCTTCCAGCCCCGGTGCAGGCCCCTGGCCAGCGTCTGCCGGGTCAGGACCCGCAACCCTCCGCAGGAGAGGCAAAGGGATTGAGGTGGCATTCCTCAAAACATGGTCTCTTTGTTTTTTTTAGACATCTCAAAAACCCAGGTGCTTTTATTATTCTCCCCAGCTCTGCTTCAGCCATCCTTCAGGAATGAGCGCTGCCGTTGGTAGAGGGAGCGTCAGCATGATTGCTCAGAGGCATCCGGGGCTGTCGCACGATTTCAAAACCTTTCCTATATAAGGAGCTGGCCCTGGGCCCTGCCCACCCAGGGCGGCAGCGGGAGGGGGCAGGGGAGCCGGCAGCTCCTGCCGCTTGCTGACTCTGGGCTTGCGTCACTTCCCAAGGATTCTGCCGTCCTGGGAAGTGACTGCCTGGCTTCCAAAAAAGGAATTTTCACTCTAGCGCCTGATCCCGTTGACTCAGCTGCTGCCCCCCTGCACGCGGCCCTCGCCCGTCTGTAGGGAGGGCTGAGCGGAGAGCGGGCCTGGCGGTGCCACCGCAGGACCGGGATGAACTCCGCAGGGAACGCTTGGCGTTTGGGTACTTCCGAGCGAGCTGCAGCCGCCTCCTCTCCTGCGCCTGTGATTTATGGGGTGACCGGGACAGAGCAGCCCTGCACAGAATCCTCATGGGGAGGTGGGGTCTGTGGGGAGGGGGGCAGCAAAGGCTGGTGTTGCTGCCATCCAAGCTTTTGGCCAGGCTTGGACCCGGGAGGAAACCGGAGGGATTAGAGCCCGCCCCATATGCGCAGGTGCAGCAGCCTCTTGTCTCTGGTTCGGATGAGGCGACACGCATTCCAAACATGACCCTTTTGTGTTCTAATCTCGGTTTCTCTGCATCCTGCCTTTAGCTGGATAGCTCTAGCTCCAAGATGGGCGCGTCCCCACATGGGAGAGGGGGCATGCGTGTCCTGGCCCCACCACAGCGCCCGTCCCGGCTCCAGCCAGTGCGGACTCTGCGGGGTTGGGATGCCACCATGGCTAAGCCATCAGCGGAGTCCACTGGGGTGGGGGTGTCCCTTCCAGGGGCTGGCTGTCCTCGATGGGGCCATGCTCATGAATCATAATTCAGAAAAAAGGAAGTGGTTCTCACAAGCCTGGGGTCTGTGCTCCCGCCAGTGCTGTGTGCTCCTTGATGTCGTTCCTGTGCCCTTTCTCTCCAGTGCACAAACCCAGGTAGCCCCACGTGGGCTCCCCACACACACACACACGTGTCCCAGTGTCTCCACCACACGATCAGTGGGCCAGATTCAAGGAGCAGGGGACAGCGTGCAGGCCTGGCATGAGCTGAAGACGTTAGAATGAAAGATTCTAGGCCAGGCGCAGCCTGTAATCCCAGCACTTTGGGAGGCTGAGGCAGGAGGATCGCTTGAAGCCAGAAGTTCAAGACTAGTCTGGACAACATAGCAAGATCCCATCTCTACAAAAAATAGAAAAATTAGCTGGATATGGTGGTGCACACCTGTAGCCCCAGCTACTTGGGAAGCTGAGGTGGGAGGATCCCTTGAGCCCCAGAGTGTGAGGCTGCCGTGAGCTGTGATGTTGCCACCGCACTCCTCTCCTGCCTGGGTTACAGAGTGAAGGCTCTGTCTCAAAAAAAAAAAATCTAAAAGCTGTCACCTCGTGGGCAGAGACAGACTCTGGCTGCAGTCACCCTGCTGTGAACAGACTTCCCTGCCCAAGTCTCTTTCCTCATCAGTAAAACCAGGACCTAACCAGCGTGGTCTAGGAATTCCATGTCCAGACAGGTTTTGTTGGAATAGATTTTTAAATGTAAACATGGTAACTTTTGCTGGCTGATCAGTTTGTGCTTCTCCTACCACCCGTGGAAGGTGTCTGCGGCCCGCGGGGCCTGGCCCCGACTCAGCGACAGGGCGTCAGCCAGAACTCTGCACCTGGGATCCTCCGTCCTCAGAGGAAAAGTCCTCCCTTCTCTCCTGGAGTGGTACCTCACGCTCCTCCTCCCATGTAGAGAAGCAAGGTGGGAGTGTCTGCTGCCGGCCGGGTGCCTGGGACTCAAGGGACACGGGGACCCAGGGCTGCTGACTGGCGGCTTGCTCGGTGCCCTAGACCTGTGAGGACATGGCCTTTCTTCGGGGGGTGGGCCCTGCGAGCTCTGGACACAGGGAGGAGCCTCCACCGTGGGGGCTGTCCCACGCAAGGGTCTCCTGTCTCCTGCTCCCTCCTCCGTCACAAATGAATCGTATGGAAGGAAAAGTCTGGGCAGCAGCCCCTCCCTCCTGCCACCTCCTTCGGGACTCGTGTTCTTTGCCGCAGTTATCTTTGGAACTGCCCGCAGCTGAACACCGGCAAGCACCTGGTGCCCTTGGCCAGCTCTTTCTTTCGTCACACCTGAGAAGGCACGGCCCAGGGACTCCTTGATGGCCACCTGCCTGCCCTCCAGCTCACACCAACATTTCCTAAAAATAAAAAAAAGATAGGAAATTATTAAAATGATCTGATAGCTATGGCATATCATTTGATTAGCAGTTTTATAATATATAGTTTTATTTAGCTAGAAATAAAAAGAAATCATGTTGTATTTTTATTGAGTGATTGATTGTTATATTAGTTATTTCCTGTACCAGTTCTTGAAATTTTAAAAATATCAACTACGTTCTCTGGACATAGATATTTTTTGAAGATTCATACAATGTGTAGGTTTCAGTTCCTGTTCTGCTATTTTGCTAGCTGTGTGATCTCAGGGGAGTTACTTAGTATCTCTGAGGTTTAATTTCCTCATCTGTAAAATGGATATAATGTAGGCCGGGCGCGGTGGCTCACACCTGTAATCCTAGCACTCTGGGAGGCCGAGGCGGGAGGATTGCTTGAGCTCGGAGTTCGAGACCAGCCTGAGCAAGAGCGAGACCCCGTCTCTACTATAAATAAAAAGAAATTAGCCAAACAACTGAAAATAGGAAAAATTAACTGGGCATGGTGGCACGTGCCTGTAGTCCCAGCTACTTGGGAGGCTGAGGCAGGAGGATCGCTTGAGCCCAGGAGTTTGAGGTTGCTGTGAGCTAGGCTGACGCCACGGCACTCTAGTCCGGGCAACAGAGTGAGACTCTGTCTCAAAAAAAAAAAAAAAAATGGGTATAATGTTATTTTTCTATTCCACTCACAGTGTTATAAAGATCAAATAAGATAATAGATGTTAAAACAGGCTGAAAGTTTTAATACAAACACAAAAAGTAAGGTTTTATTAAATAATGGTATTATAAATATACACGTACTTCCTGACAGCTGTGAAAAATAACAAAAACAAAAAGACAATCTCTGAAGTAGGTCACAAACATGAGAAAAATCATTAATAAAAGCAAACACTCAGATTAGGTCACCACATGTGAGGAACAGCTTCCTCTCTGCTGCTCTTAAGAGTAGCCGCATCCCGGGAGCTCCTGGGGTGCACTGGGCCCTTTCTCCCTCCAGGGGTGCTGGGGGCAGGGTGCTTCCCTGCCCAGGATGTTGGGCTCGGAATATCAGCAGGCACCACCCGAGCCTTCCCTGTGCTTGCTCCGGCCTGGACTCGGGGACTCGTGGTCACGACAAGAGTATGCCCTGGTAGCCGCTGCCCCACAGCCAGGGCCCCAGAGTGGGACATGGGAACATGTGTGACCCTGACCTCTGCCTGGAGCCACGCCCAGTGACCTGCAGTCCCAAACACAGCTACCAGCCCAGCAGCAGCCCCAGGAGCAAGGAAATAAATGCTTGTGCAAGTCGTTCCAAGCTACTGCGTTTTGGGGTGGGCTGCTGTGCAGGTTCTGTCAGCAGTCTCAGTCCTCAGATCCCTGGGTCCCCCACTTATTCTAGGTGCCTGGTCGTAAGTCCCTGTGGACCCGTGCAGAGTGGCACACCTTGCTTCTCCCTGCAAAGCGTCCCTTCCTGTCGTTGAGGTGAGGAGAGCACACCCTCCCCTGGGGAGCAGCGGATCCCCTAGTCCAGTGTCTGGGCAAGACTGCGCGTGTGCCACGTGACCCAGGCTGACCCAGCAGCATCCGTGCCCCCTGCCGCA